TCTCCTACCACCTCTTGTTTTCTTGGATCAAATTGAATCGGCTCTTCTGTAATTGAAATTCATCTAATGGTCTCGAATCTCTCCGGATCATCTTGAATCCCTCGACATCGCCTCTTGTGCTCTTAAAAACGATCGGCTTTTTTAAAAAATTGTCAATTTGGCTCTTGTGCTCTTGAATATGATTGCCTTCATTTGAACCGCTGCAATCCAATTTCTTCATTCCTCAATCCCATTACGGACTTCAGCTGTTCAAAAGGCTTAGCAAACACATCATCTGCACATAAGATGGATTCAGCAGATGTGACTGTTGTAGATACTTGTGAGCATTTCCATTCACTTTTCATAATCGCCACATGATATTGTTTCTAACATGATTTCCTATGTAGATTTTGAAAGATTCCGCTTTGGAAAAGGATTTAAATATCGTTGTACATTATGTAAGGGTAGAGCTATGAATGCTATTAAAGATCACAAGGAATTACCAAGTCACAAAGCTATGGTAGCTTCTCAAGAGGCTATTGATTCAAATAATCAACAGCATCTTGGATCTTTTCTTCAGGACAACAACATGGATTCTTCTGACAAGGAAGCATCAGCAGATGAAGAACAAGACAAAGCTATTATCATTGATGACAGATCACTGTCTGAAGATCTTGGTTTTACTGAGGCTCTTATGCAGCTTCTAACCGGAAATTACAGTGACTCTGAATCCGAACTTTCTGATAGCTCTGATAACATTCAACCACCTGTTGAGCTTGCCAACGTCGACTGGGAGGCACTTCTGTTCAACAAGCTGAATGAAGATCAGGACCAAAGCTCGACTGGCTCTAATTCAGATGGAATGAGTAGTTCAGATATAGATGATGTAGAATTGGAAGAAGATAAAACACAAAAGACACCTCGAATTGATACAGACTGGTATCCTTTCACAAAGGAGGTGTGTGTCTCAATTCTGTTATATACATTTAGTTTGGTCAATGACTGAGTTTGAATCCCATTCACTAGCAGGTTGTGGGATTATTATCTCTAGGATCTGGCCGCAACCTGTCATCAGAGAGCCAGTACAAGCATAATCGGATGTTGTTTGGCCTCTTCGACATCTCTTTACCAGCGTACAAGACTCTAGGACGATTGCGAAAAAGGATGTGTGCGCGGTTTGGATTTAATGTTAAGGAGTGGGAGAGTCCCCTCCAAAACCCATGCTATGGATTGAGTATCAAAGATATTGTGGCTCAGGTACAATATGTCTCTTATTCTACAACAACAAACATTACAGAATTATTGACAATGTTGTTTGTAACAGGAGCTTGCAAATCCTGTTGTGATTGAGCACTTGACTTTCATCCCAGAATACGATCCCAATAAACCAGTCAACCGATTGTCTCAGTCTAAGAAGTGGCGTGAAGGGTTTTCACACAATCAGAGACTCCAAATGATTACCTCGAGAAACAGACACTTCTTCCTCTATGAGCCAATCTGTCGAGCTTCAGGAGAGTGGATTGTTCCTATCTTTTTCTTCCAACAATCCGGCACAGTCTATGCAAAATGTTTGAAGGCATCAATCATCTCTCAGGGAGAAAATCCCTCCGGTATCAAGATCATTGTGAACGCGGATAAAGATTTTGATTCTCCTTTCTTGATTACGGTTGATATGGATACTATTACTGCCACGTTTGTAGAGTCAAAGGATAGCAAGGGTATCCCCCTTAAGGGAAGATATGGTGGAGTAATGTATCGTGAGTTATTTAATTTTGTATACTCCATTGATAAATCAAATTAATCAACTGTACATATTTTAATAGAGCAACACGGAGACGGATATTGCGAGATACTTCTTCCAAATCCATGGCGAACCAAGGCAGATGGGAAAGTGATTCGACATGTACCAATCACACTATATTCTGATGATACTTCTGGTAATGTGTCAAAAAAATGGAATAAACATATGAGTTACTATTTTACTCTTACTGGATTACCTCCTGGAATGACAAATCAAGAGTATAACATCCACTTTCTTGCAACATCCAACAAAGCAAGTGCTCTTGAGCTTGGCGAGAACATAGTGGACGAATTAAAGTAAAGTTTTCAATGATCAATACTTTGAGTGATGTCAAGACTGACCTTCAACCTTTGAATAGCATGCTGGGAAAAGACGGATTTATTACTTACGATGAAGGTCTAAAGGAGGAGGTTCTTGTAATGGTTGTTCCTTTGTGTCATCTTGGAGATTCTCCCATGCATGCGGAAATCACAAATACGACAAACCCATCAGTAACTTTAAACCCCTGTTGGATATGTACACTTGGTGTGGAAACGCTGAATGGAAAACAAGATTCGAAATACACTCAAGCATTTGTGGGTCTTCATCAGGATGAGGTGTGTTATTTAATTAAGATTCCTTTTCTTCAATCCAATGTAATGACAAAATTATTCCTTCAATCTTCTTGTGGTGATATATAGGGAGGTCCTAAGCCTCGTGAATGGGCAACTACAAAGTCACAAACTTACGAACTCTGGGAATTACTTCGAAATCCGAAGAAGCATACTGAGTTCCGTAGGAAATCTAAAGAATATGGTGTCAAAGATACTACAAATACTCAATTTGTGGACAGTTTCATGAACTTCATAAAGATCACAAGTACTCAAAAGAGGAGGTGCATAAGATGTTTGAAGATCTCAACAAACAATTTGGAGATCGACTGTTCAATCCTTCTTTACACTTGGAGGGTATGTTCTACAACTACGGTGGGTTTTTGAGCAAACAATTGACTTGATTATATTAGGTTTTGATGGTCATCTAGATACACCGGTAGAAGTTCTTCATGTGGTCTTACTTGGAGTTGTTAAATATCTTTTCAAAGATGCAATGGATGATCTCCCGGATTCAGCATTACCTTTGGTTTTGGCACGATGGAAATCATTTCATACGTCCGGCTTGAATGTTCCACCAATTCAACCAAGAACTCTGACAAGTTATTATCAAAGTTTAGTCGGTAAAGATTTCCAAACAATATTACAATCAGTACCTTTTGTACTTTATCCTCATTTCTCATATGAAAGACGAAGGATGTGGACTGCATTGGTTCATTTAGGCTCTTATATTTTTCAAACTGAAATCACTCACATGCGCACCTACTTGACAAATCTGAAGAAATTAGTCAACATATTCCTTGGTCACCTCATCCGATGGACAGCACAGTGGACAAACAAACCCAAGTTTCATATGCTGGTTCATCTTGTTCAATCAATCGACCGCTTTGGCCCACTCTCTTTAGTTGCAACTCAAAAATTTGAAAGTTTCAATGGTATACTGCGAATTGCTTCAATTCACACAAATCAACACAATCCAGGCCTTCATATTGCTACAATCTTCATTTATGCCCGCTTGCTTCGTCTACTCTTTTCAGGAGGATCAGTCTGGTATCATAAATATCACTGTTGAGCACGTGGAGGGAAGAAATTGATTGAGTTGTTCTCACAAAACAAATGGGTTCAGAAACGTTTTGCTTATAACAAGGATTGGAATTCAGAAGGAACTTTTTCAATGAAAGGTATGATTATATATTTTCTTTGAGAGGATGTAAATCAAATGTCTGATGACTGACCTAATGTATGTAGGTACAACAACTGTTCCTGCGTCAACTCCAAGCGAGCTGAAGAAGGGATTTCCCAAACATGTTTGGTTGCCAAGGAAGGAAGCCATCCTTGCATCAAAGCAGCGAGTGCATTTACAAAACTTTGTTCTCATGGATCTCAAGTCAAACAACTCACCGCGAGTTGGACATGTAGAGAGTTTCTGGGAGGGTAAAGGCTCAAAAGATTCTGAGTACTTAGCTAAGATCAAGGTCTGTGAAGTCTCTGATAATATTGATGAATTCTATGGATTTTGCGGCCTAAGTATTTCTCAAGAAGACCTGTGGATATCAATCAAGGTAGATATCTCTAAATCAAAGTTTTAATCAATTTTGAAAGCTGAAAAACAACATAATTCCTCCACAGAACATCAAATGTGTCTTTAATGTTCAACATAATTGCAATCTTGCCAAGTGTAAACCCCGGAAGAGTCCAAAGAAACATGATGGGCAACTTCCAGTCAAATCTCCATATCAGATCCAACATGAAGCTTTCAATGCATATCTGATCAATTCAGGTGCCCTATATTCAGCGGAATCTCATCGCAGTATAGCAAACATCAGTTATAAACCATGGAGTGTAGACGAATGGGAGGAATGTATTGATATGGGTACAAAAATCTGGAAATCTACTCGAGAAGAAAAAGAAAAATCGAAAGAAGTACAAGTGGCTAAATCCAATAGGAAGAAAGACAAAGCAAATTTCTCAAAAAGGAAGCGTGAAGATATTGATCCAGCTTTGTATTGAAAGATTTGCATTTGTAAATTGAATTTATAAATTTGTTGTAGGGGCACCTTCTGTTCTACCATCATGGCTTTATTGTTCTTTCAAACAGACATATACATTGATATATCTTTTCATTTCTTAACAACTACTATTATTATTAGAAACTTGGGATCATTATTGAGGTGTTGAGTGTCCACAAGTTCTTTTGCCTTTGCTTTTTAGATGAACAAAAAAGCAAATTTTCTCTTCTCTTTTTCTCTTTTTCATATTGCAACTAAAACCACAAAGTGAGATTCAGCCTATGGTGATTGGCCGTACAAAAAAGTATCCCAAGTCTTTGTGGTGTATACTGTTCTTGCCTTCAATCCCCAGAACACTTGATTCATGAGGCAAGATCGGAGAAAATCAATGACTGATTTTCTCAAAGGTCTCACGGTTAAGATCAATGACCAAGGGGTTACGTGATCAATCATCCAAATTGTCATGTGATTGATTAATTTGACACTTTGGTCAGTCTTGTTGACCAGAGTGATTTCCGTTTCTCTTTCTTTCTTTTTATCTTTATTGTTTTATCTTATCCATTCATTCCTTTTCACTTTCTATCACATCATCTCTTTCAAGGTCATAGTTGCTCACTTGACATGTCCAAACCCTACACACCCAGCAATCGTGCTAAAAAGAAACCTCAAAACCATTCTCCTGGTACTTTCGATCTTTTGTTGACTGTTTGACTAGCTATCTACTCATCCTTACTATCTTTTGCAGATAATGAGACTGAATCCCTGGTAAACTCACTTCCGGAATCGCTTCGGTTTCTTAAACCTGGGGCAAGTCGATTGTCACACAAAAGCAAGGAGGTTAAAGCACAAGAAAATCAAGGGCAAGATGAAGATGAAGATTTGTTTGAGAACGAAGTTGACGATGGCAATAATAATCAATTACCAAACAAAGATCAGCAAGTAGATGACGATGAAGACGAAGAATTACAGAAAGAGTTCGATGACGAAGACAAAGAGAATCAGCAAGAAGATGACAACAACGACACCCATCGAGAAGGACACGATGATGACGAGACCAGTTCTACCAACCCACCAGACCCCCATTCAACGTCACCTTCCCAACATCAAGGGGGATCTACGAACCGGGTCCAGGAACTGTTCCGCACAGCAGACCCTTCTGTTCCTTCTGTTAGGCGACTGATGGCTCCAAACGATAGGGAAAAATTTGAAAAAGTTGCCGACATATTCGGTCTTGACTCTCGCTACCGAGCAGAGGCCCTTCGACTCGGTTCAGTAAGTCAGCTCCGTTTCTCATGGGTCTACATACACACTGATTGTTTTTGATCCCGTGTTAGATCACTGGTGACGATAATCGCTATTGGACACTTCTGTGCCTCCAGCAGCTTCAACGTCAAGAATTGGCAAAGGAGGCGGCAAATAGTTGTGCTGAATGGATACCGAAGCCAAACTTTGCGGTATGTATCCATTCCATCTTTGATGAGCTACTAACCTCATGCTTTAATGTTTTAGGAACAACTCAAGAAATTGATGCGCCGTACTCTACGTGATTCTTTCATTAAATCATACACTGAAACTTTGGACCAAAACAAAGTTATCATTTCAGGTTCCTTTCATCGGAAGGCAATGGTATTTAACAATCTCACTGTATTCCTTGTGCTTCAATGACACTGACTTTACTGTTTTCAGCAAGCCATCATGGACAACACCAAGGCCTGGAAGGCTGAATATTTACCCTCTGACTTTGGCACTACTTTAGAAGATTTATCGAACCATGACAAGTTCATGGAATTGTTCCGATCGAAGCTCCGACATGCTCGAGATGATTTCCCATTGATTGTAAGTCAAGTTTTCTGACATGATCTGAGCTGAATTACTGATTTGTCATCCACTCGATAGTTATTGAAGGAAATCGTGGTGCCACAACGCAAGATCGACTTGAAGGAACCTCAGACAGAAGTGCCAGCCCTTGGTGCTCTCCTTGGACACGTAAGCTTGATAGATAACAGCTTCGATCATTCTGTTACATTTGTAAGGAATGGTACAGCTGACTTTTTCTTCAGTTGTATCATTTTTTTGATCCAAACGAATCTCGTACCATGACCGAGCTCCTAAAAGCAGTCAACACAAAAACTCAAGCTCGGTTTGCTTACCTTGTAAGCAGTTTTATTATTCCCTTTCGCAACTCAATTTCACCTTTTTATGTTCACTATCCTTTTGCGTAGAGAATGGCACTTGCTGTATTTCATAATACCAGCGCGGAGAAGCGTAAGGCACAAGGTGGATTGACTAATTGGCGAATGATTGATCACAATTTGTCTGAATTTCGCGACAAAAGTCGTGACTATCGCCGAGCGTACGTCGGATTAGTTTTTAAGGGTTTAAAAAGTAGCTAACACTGCCTCTATATCACCAGATTCAATGCAATTGTCCTTGCTCGAGATCAAGGTCTATTCAATGGAAAGAACACGTGGGATGAGATTAAATCCAATGCACAATTTGAGGTCCCTAGCGTAACCGATGTTGTCACCACCATCCCTTTCCTCCCCACAAATGCCAGTTGAATAGCTAATCACATACTCTTATTATCTTATCTCTCATCTCTCATCGATTCATTGTTTTCATCAATTCATCAGTTTCATCAATTTATCAAATCATTGATTCATCAAATCATCAATCATCGGTTTCTCATTTTTATTTTTTTTCTCGCTTTTTTCCTTTTATACTTTGTGTTTTCATCGTTTTCGTCGTTTTCGTCATTTTGATTATTGTTATTATTTTTATCATCTTTATCATCTTTTATATTATCAATGTTTATCGCCTTTGGGTTGCAAATAATTTGTGTTTTCAATACTATAATAACACTATAAGAAACACAAACCCTCACCAATCCATATAAGCCAAATCAAAAACAACCTGGAGATATCTCTGAAATTCATCCGCAGGTCATCCAGTGCTCAGCAGCCTGGATGTCCAACCGACTGCCAGAAGTACACCTCTGGGAATCGATGCACCGACTACCCTCACGACATACCTTGACGGATGTCAGGTAGATGCAGGTCAGCGATCCTCGGGCTGCCCAATGGGCTCTGCTCAGTTGTCCCCACTTGGGCGTCCAAACAGGCACATGCCGCTGTGTTGTGGGGGGGTGTCCGTCCCCCACCAAAAAAATCGGACATCCCCCGGACAGCTGGGTGTCCTTGTGGTGTACTAGTCTTCCATTTAGAGAGGGCAAGTTTCCTCTTTGGATCTAGCACATTTGTTCTTGGTGTTATGTGTGTATTACTTACACATACCACCCTCAGTTCTACCTACCACTTTCTCTGGTTGGTAGAACTGTACGGGGTGGCAGGCTGCAGGCCGGGCGGGGTTTGTGCGGGCCAGAAAACTTTCTTGCGCGCGTAAAACCCAAAACTGTCTTGTGACCACGCTGGGTGGGTGAGTGGCATTTGTTAATAATGACAATAACAACTTTCAGAACTGATGTGTAAGGGAGGAGTTAGATGTCACAAGATTACAAGTGTATAGTTTCACACGTGTGTTAGTTAGAGTCTTTATAGTCAGTTGTAGATTCTCCTCCCTCTTGTTTCTTTTCCCTTGAGGTTCCCTTTCCTCCTTCTTGATTCTGTAGTCTTTTATATTGATTATCTGGTATTTAGGCCTTATTCAGGAATACAAACGTGGTGATAGTTCTGTCTCAGCTTCGGCCCCTTGAGAAACAGTCCCTAGTGAAGGTGCATTCTCACGCACCTTACACTTTTTTGAACTACACCCATCGAACACAATCACTCGGATTCGATAATTCAATTCAATACTACAGAATACATAGAGCGCCATACTGACATATGATTAGCACTACATTTACATACATATTTTTTGCAATCCAAATTCAGCCGTACACCAAGTTGTGTACTAGATGAGTCAGACTGACACAATAGAATTCCCTATTTCACTACCCAAACCTTGAGTGTCAGTATGGCACTTCATGTAGCACCTGCCGCAACATAAAGTGCATACTGACATTCAAGGTAGGGTTAGCCGGTTCAGGGCTTGGTTTTGAGACAACCGTCACAGCCATGACCAATCATCTGTCATCTAGGGCTACATCATTGCACATAACCATACTCACTGTGAAGCCATGAATCTCATTTACGACATACTTGACCTACCCATCACTATCATTTTATTCACTTGATACACTCATCAACACGACAACTTTACAATCGTAATCAGAATGCCAACATGGCTTGACAATCAAAAGCTGCATGGAGTGCTAACTTATGGATTCATTAATAATCTCACCATCAAACAAATTCAATCCCGGCTACTGTCTGAACATCAAATATCTGTAACAGAAAGGACAATATACCGATACAACAAGAAATTTGACCTGAAGAAAAATCAAGGTGCTCCACCAAAGCCAAACGAGTCCAATGTTGAAGAAGCAATCAACAAACACTATCACCAAGGCAAGACAATGTCAGAGATGCTCATTGCACTGAAAAATGAGGATCTGATTAATATTAGTAGACAAACTCTGAATCGGCACTGCAAGAATTTAGGACTTTCTCGTAGATATGATGACATTCAAAGAGGTAAATACACAGTTGAAGAAATAACCCAACTTATCTTAGAGGTCCAGAAGGAAAACCATGAAAACACTGGGATCCGATCGCTCAAGTCTTTATTACTCAGTGAACACAAAATACATATCAACAGGTACTTGAATGTTATCACATCTCTATTCAGATTCTTCATTGTTACAGTTGCAATTCTTTCATTGACAGGGAGCCGCTAACAGAAATCTTAAGACAAGTGGATCCTGAAGGTGTTCAACGTCAACGTCGCAGAGTTCTGACTCGCCGTGCCTTTAGATGTCCTGGACCAAACCATATTTGGTCGGCTGATGGGCACGACAAGCTTCAAAGTTGGGGAATTAGGATATACGGATTTGTTGATGCTTGGTCTCGTCGCATACTTGGACTATATGTACATGTCACCAATAGCGACCCTCGGCACATCGATATATATTATCTGGATGTGGTGAAACGGCATGGTGGTAGCCCACAGCATCTTCACACTGATCGTGGTACTGAGACTGGCAAAATGGCAGCCAGCCATGCTATCCTTGTTTGTGTATTTGGTGGTCTAGACAAAGTCGAGGCACTCAAACGGCACAAATACACTAAATCCGTTCACAATCAAAAGATTGAGTGCTTTTGGGGTCAAATGTGTTGACGTCATACACGCGGGATCATCAATGGATTTTATGAGTCGCTGGAAAAGGGCCAATATAACTCTGATAATATTTTGGATTGGTGGGTTTCTTCTCCATCTGTTTGTTCACAAAGTTACACCTAACTTACAAAATGCATACTCTTTTCAAAGTTTATTATTCCTTTATATTTGGATCCCCTTCATGCAGAAGCACTTAAGGAAATTCACCAACCGGTACAACAACTTCAGAAGATGAAAGGATCCTCGAACTGCCCTTCCAAGTGGAACTAGTGCTGATTTTGCTTATAAGAATCCTCATGAGTTGTTTGGGGGGATTGATGGCTTGATTGAAGTGCCAAATGAAGATGTTCAAGTAATGATTTCAGAACAATACCCTGATATACAAAGTCTCTTTACTTACACACCATCCTGGTTTTCCACTGTTGCTGATGATTTGATGCCGGGGCTTAACTTGTACCATGATAACCTCAAGTATTCAAACATATGGAAAGCATTCAACTTGATGCGACAAGCATTGATCCTTCATAACTGGAGTGGAACTCCATTAGACGGCCTCCAATTTCAATGATCACATAGTAATACAAAGAAGAAAAACTTATGCTGAATATCTTTCAAATTGAATCATCTCTTTCTCTTGTATTCAGTTTCATTTTTTATGTGCGATTGATAAAAGAAATCATTCTTCAAATTTGTTTGTCAAAAATTTTACAATACCCAACAAAAAATGAATTTGAGAAATATTACAAAGATTTCAATTTTTCTTTAAGCTCTTCCATCTGTGCCTTTTTCTTCTTATCTTTTAACATCTGAAGTTTACGAAGCAACTCATCTGCATAGTTTTCAGCCAATGTTTCTCGATATACCTCCCATTCTTGATCACACATGTTGCCTCGCATGTCAGTAAGAAGTTTGATGCGTGCAACAATACTTTTTGCGATTTGACAAGACGATCCAAATTGGGTTATCTTCGCATCTTCCGGTGGAATAGGCTGATGATCATGTGTATAAGTCTTGGAGTGAGTACTATAGTGTCTAACATCTGAAGCCCAAACCATCACTACAACACCATCACATTCATCGAAATCAATTTCCACATTGTAGTCAGGAAATACAAATTGAGCCCCTTTGACGTAGCCGTGCTTTGAGGTCCTTCCACGTCGATATAATTTACCTGTGTCACAATGTATAAGGCTAAATAATCCAAAAGTGAAACCAGAATGATCATTATCAACATGGATCATGTTGGCAAACTCATCACGTGTTACAACAAAGTTTGACCCAAAGACCCGTCCATTTGGAGATTTGAAAAACAACTTCGAAGACCAAGAGGGTGTGCGACATTTAGCAGCCCGATGACAATTGGATTCAAAGGCTCCAATAGATAGGGAGGCAAATTGTTCAGCTAGAAAATGGTTGATGGATGGGAGATACATCTGGCGGCGTAGGTCGTTTTCCATCCGGGCAACAGAATGTGCAGTTGTTGCATTGAGAGCATAGGTACCTAAATTAAAACATACATGAACAACCAAAATTTTTAAAAACCAAAAGAAATAAATGAGAAACTATGCACCTCCAAATTTTGTCTTTCTGTATCCACCACGAAAACCCACCACAAACATCTGACCAGATTTCATATGCTTCAGACCTTCAGCTGCACCATTGGTATAGCAGCGATAACGGGCTGTTGCATGCTGATACAAGGTCATGATTGATTTTTTAAAATTGTCGAATAGTTTGGCACAATCAGGTGTAAGTTCTCGCTTCAGCTTTCCATTATTCAACCGCTTTCCTGTATATTCTTGCTCGTTGAATCGGACGACCGCGAGGAGTTTAGTTCCATATTTATTAAGTATAACTACTGTACCAAAAGAAAGTGACAAAAGGGCCTGTCCACCATGCTCAGTTCGGAAGACAAAGGTAGCGTCTTTGGGAAGGCCATACCAATCACATATTTTTTGTTTGAATTCAGCTCTGATGCGCGATTCAACTTGAAGGGTCAATCAGAAGATGGAAGTTGTGGGGTATTATGAGCAACCCATTGTGCAACAATTTTACTCTTCTTGATTGCAACTCGAGTTTTGATCTGACTAGTATTAAATTTTGCTTGAGCACGTTTCTGTGCAGGGGATCTATACTTCTTATTACTGAAGCGGAATAAAAAAACATCAAAAATTATTTAAATAATCTTCCATGTCAGAGATCAACTTTTTTTGAGTGTCACAACTCTCCCACACTTGAACAATGAACTAGATTAGGTTTGCTCAAGGTTTGCGTCAAACCCTACCCACAAGAATTTGGTGTGTGAAACCAACCCAGATTCTTGGGGAGGACAAGTGCAGTTAAACCCAAAGCAGTGACCATAGATCATCAAGGTCCAAAACCAACTTGATAGTGGAATGGAGACATCAGGTAGTTCTGCATCTTAACTGTGTCAAGATAGAGCATGCAAGATGAAATTCCATCCATTATCAAGTTGGCCTGTGGGAGCTCTGCTATCCTCTAGTTGCTGATCATGACAAAAGAAAGATGAATGAAGAATGAAGAATGAAGAAATATGCATATTGGTATCTCACATCATGCTGATTTGATAAATAATGTCGATCGTTTTTAATGTATCGTTTTTTTGACTGGAATCAATTTGTATTGATTGTGAAGTAAATTGGACTGTTACTAGAATTGAAGTCTAAGGAATTAGAATTGTATTGATTATGAAGAATTGAAACAATTGTGATTAGATTTGGGTCTTTTCAAGACACAAACTGGTTTATAGACTAGAGAAACTAACCAATTACTAGACTGGACTTGGATCTAAAGTGGATTGAATCTGGATTGAATCTATCAACTGATTGATTTTTGAATCATATAGACAGATCAATAGTGATCCAAATCGATTTGATTTTGACTAGAATCGATTAGTCCTGACTAGAACAGGATGAATAACGTGTAATTTGAATGTATTGTTTGAATCAATTAACTGATTGATTTTGAATAAACGAGATGGATCGATTGTGAGTCAAATCGATTAGTTTTTTCGAGTAGGATTGAATAGTTTAGACTACAAAAGGATGAATGATGTGAATCGATTTCAAGGTGTTGTTTGAAATGATTAAGTGATTGATTTTGAATAAAAGAGATGAATTGATAGCAGTTCAAAGCGATTGGATTTGTTTTTTTTGACTAGAATTGAATAGTTTGAAATGGATGAAGTATGAAAGAGATTAGCAAGACATGATTCTATCTTGTAAAATATTGAACAGTGGAAGAACTTACTGAAGAGATTCAAGCAAATGCTAGTTGATTTGAGTAGGGAAGTATAAGATGAAAGAGCTCAAAAGAAATCGCTTACGTGGCCCCATTTGGATAAGATATGCTTATATATAGGATATGCTTATATCCAATCTCATGCAATTGGGTGCAATTTGGTACGTCCAAAACATATCAATCAATCATGATTGCTCCTTTCTTTCATTGCTCTCTGTTTTGTCAAGGGAATATCTTGGATTTCACAAATTGTAAAAGGTGAATCAATGTATAAGGACCTTGAAACCACAATACATGAAACACAATCTGGACAAATAAATTGAGTGGTATGGACAACTGTCATGATTGGGCCTCATGTTCCTCAGAGCTGCGATCATAATCCATAGAAGTGAAGATCGGCTAAAGACTTTCTTGACAACAGTGATCAGAAACAAATTGCAAAAGAAAATTACTACACATCAGGTGATTTTTGAGAACGGAGTCTCATACGGTCTTGAGTAGTTTTTTGTTTCCAGAACTCATTTGGTGCATTCTCGGGTGCAGTAAAGTCTGGATTTCCCCCATTAGCAATATGATCTTCAATGAAATCTTTTTCCATATTTTCACTATGGTTTTGATCGGCTTCTTGACCAGGTGGAAACAGCAGTCCTAGTTTGTGACAAATTTCATAGCACCGGTGCTGTTTGTTAAATCTTTGAATTTCCTCTTCAGCTGTGTTAGTCTCCTGAACCCAAGCATTGCTGTAGAATAAGATAATGAATTCAGTAAGATTCGTATATATGTCATACACATTAAATTTGCTCACTTTATATCTAAAATGAGTGGATCAGTGAGATATTCACCAAATCCTTGAAGATCAGCAACTAATCTCTGATGATTGTTCTTCTCATATACGTAACAAGTGAAAGCAGAAAGGGCCATATGGGTTGAATCACATGGTGATCGTATCTTGAAACACATGTTGGATGTGTACTTCTCAAATTTCCCTTCTTTTACAAGGGATTTTTCAAAAAACCAAATGTTTCTTGGGTCAAGATCTTGGCTCAAAGATCCAGAGTAGACTACAAAGGATTTTACAACCTGCAGAAAAATCAGAATTCTTTCATACACAACCAATCTTCAAGAGACACTCACTTTTAAGTCTTGTATAATACTGTACATAGGAAATCACCCATCAAGCTTCTCACAATCGTCTTGAAAGCGCTTCAAGTACTTTGCAACACCCATGCAAGCTTGCATTGTTCGAATATAAGGCTCCAAATAAGTCCCTCGAAACAGTTTATGATTGATCAGCTGTTTTGCGATCATGTTGTATACAATTCCTCCAGATTATCCCAATGCTGCATAGCAGATCCGAGTCAAGCCTCTTCCCACTTCCTTGTCAGTGAAAACTTTGAATCTAAATGGAACTGGAATCCATACTGTTTTACCATTCCTGGCTTGAAGGACAAGCTTCCTTCCTTCAATGAGTTGTGTCGGCGATATAGGATCATGGACGGGGAGTGGTTTTGCAAAAGCTGTTACACACATCTGTTTGATGTGTGTCGAATCATCTGCATGAGAAGAATCAGAATGGATGTTTGAAAACATAAGAAATGACAGACAAAAAACTCACAACTGAAATCTTTGACAACTGTCTGAGATGGAGTGTAGTTCGCTTTCTCATTCAAAAATCCATCCAATACCATTGTACCTAGTACATCCTCTGAAAAATTGGTTCCGTAGTTAAGTTGAGTTGGTGGGAGATGAAAACAAGCTGTACTACTTCCACGGAGAGGAGCAGTGGAAGTTGCTGATAGTAGTGATGGATTAATAAAGGTTGGATCAGGTAGCTGGGCTGATGAGACGTTATTGGAGAGTGAGGTTGAGAAATTTTGAATCAATTTGACTGGCTTCGAAGACTTTTCATTGTATGTGTATCAAACTGATCACTAGCAAATTCGCAATCATCCAAGAATTGTGAACAATCTTGAATAACCTTTGCGTTCTTTTTGATTCTCTTTGATGGTTTCTTTGGTGCTAATATAATTGATTCTAATTCGCTTGAGTCGTCTAACTCAGCTTCAGAGGTGGATATCTTGTGATTTCTTTTCTTTGATGCTTTATTTGATCTCTTATCTTTATCTGTTTTTTCTAAAATACCAAATCTACTATCATAGCGCACTGAGTTGAATGAAAGTTCCAGCATCTTTGATCCACCTCGCAGCAAGTCAGAGAGGTCATCTTTTTGTATTTCTATAGCAGGACAAAAATTGTTCAGATGGAAGTACTTTTCATTAAACTTGTATTGGGTAGGGAAATCAGGAAGATCATTCTTTGCTTCGTGAATTTCGGGTAGAAAACTATAATAAATGCTAGAAGCAACTTGATCGTACAGTTCACCTGTAGATTCAGTCAATTTAATCAATAATTTGAAAGATTTTGCTTGTGCTGGTAAGTATTTCGTGGTTATTTTCCCTTTAAGATACATATTCATCCAAGCATTGAAGTTGTAATGGGTGAGGATAGGTTGTGGTGAATTTGACTTTTTAGGAGGTTCAGATAGCCCTTGAAGTTCTAACGATTTTGCTTGTCAGAATTTGTTACGTAGTATCATTGAGTCTTGTTTCTTGGCTGTAGCTGACTGATGCAGTTGAAATGCATGGTTGCCAGTACTTGAAGTGGATTGCTGAGCGGTTATAGAAGATGAGGGGGGATCGCAGTCGACCCTACAAGCACCCTCAATTTTTTTGTCCATTGAAAGACTGTTACAGATTTTACAAATCAAAGACATTGTGTAGTGATCTGTAGGGTTGGTAAAACAATGATAATAGTGATTGATTCAGTCAAGCTTTGAAAGTTTGTTTATGTTGTGATGAACCTAGAGAATGCACGATAACTAGTAGAAAGTGTAGGTATATGATGTTCTACATCCAGGGGGATGGCATCGCCCATACATACATGTTGATGAGATAAACAAAAACAGGTGACCTAAGTGTCAGTGGGGGTAGATAGGTGGTAGGCATACTAGCACTATAATAAAGAAGAAGATCCTTATCAGTCAGTATGTCACTAGATGTATCGCTTGCCACTAAGGGAATCACCATACTGACACTCAAGGTTTGTGTAGTGAAATAGAGAATTCTATTGTGTCAGTCTGACTCATGTAGTACACAACTTGGTGTACGGCTGAATTTGGATTGCAAAAAACATGTATGTAAATGTAGTGCTAATTATGTGTCAGTATGGCACTCTATGTATTCCGTACAATACCAATAACTTTTCAACGCCACTCGGCGGGGAAAACCTTTTCTATTCAAACATTTTTTTCACACTTTTTTTCGTTTTCCTGTTTCACCCAGTATTCCTGTTCCTGTTAGCCTGCTCAGATACTCTTCCTGTGACTACCTGGTCCTGCAAGACTTCCATGTCTAGTAGTGACAATCCTGTTCTCCCGTGTTCCACTCGACAACATCCCGGAGCAACATTGAATCAAGTCGACAATCCTGAACGGATTATTTTTCCCACCCGCCCTCAACAGCCAGCTTCACATCAGATTCCATCTGCAACTTTTATTGACAGTCCGATACGTGCAGCCTCAGCTCCTCCAGCCCCTGATCATACTATCCGTGGTCCTCCCTTGATACAATCAAAGTGGGATCTTATTGTTAATCCCCCCAATCCTCAAGGATATCTGGTTGTGATGGCTACTTGGCCTTTACCAGGCATCTCAGTATCATTGGATCAGCTCTCTGACAATTTGGTTCCAGCAGCTTCCCAACCTTCGTTACCGCGTCCTAAACCGCGACGTAGTGTTCCTGGTTCCTTCGATCCTCAGTTATCCATTCTCGCATCTGAACCTAGCTCGACAACTCAGGTCATGGACCAACAATCTTCTTCATTAACTCAGGATGTCAACGTTGCTCGTACAAAAGCCGAGAATGAGCAACTTTGTCAGGACAACGTGAGTCTGCGCGCGGAGATGGGCGACATTTGTCGACTCCTAGAAAACCTTTTGGCTCAACAGAAGCCACCGGTGGGTGACGTGACGGGCGGGTCTTCTGGGGACGCAACATCAACTCAACGACCACCACACGTTGACCCTTCCTTAGATCATGGCTCTCAAACTGCCCAGATTTTTACTTTGACACCGGTGGTCAATAATCAAGGAAACCTTTTCCATGTACCAGCTTCTCTGCCTTCAGTCCCTGAAACGGCCCACATTCCTATGATTTCACATGTCGACTTGTCAAAGTTTCGGGCAAGCGATTGGCCTCAGTATAAGGGCGCCTTTGGTGATGTGGCTGCGTTTAGGTTATGGCAATACCAAATGGAATCCATCTTTTGGGTCAAGCAAATTGATCAGGCTGAAGACCGCTTCTGAATCTTACCTTTGGTGATAGCGAACAATCCAGCTTCTTCTTGGTGTTGACGATCAGAGAGGACCTTTGTGGGTAAAACGTGGGAGCAGGTGATGGTCAAGATGCAGAGTGTTGTTTTACCGGTAGGATGGGATGAAGCGGCCAAAGAAAAATTAAGGGAACTCACAATGAAGCCCAATGAGTCTTGCACTGCTTATTGTGGGAGAGCACGTTTAATTCAAGAAGAGATCGGCGTGGAAGGGTGTCCAGATGAGACATTGGCGTATGTGGTGGTAGGTGGTATGGGTGGTACATTTAAAGCGTGGGCAAAGATGGAGAAGGTGGTTCAGAAGAGTCTTGATGCGACAGGAAGGTTTTCGTTCCCAATCTTCGAAGAGCGTGTAGGGAGTATCTGGTTATTAACTCAAGCCATGGATGCATTGGGTTCTAATCAATCACAATTGTCAGAAGGTCGTAATTCATCGACTTCTGCTCCGGCGCCGAACATCCAGAACCAGTTTCAGTCAAATAACGGCACTCAACCTTTTTTTCGTCCGGCCTTGTCTTCTGAAGAAATCATGGCACGCAATGTTTGTTTTGGGGCATATATGTGTTTGATTGGGTTGTGTCCAAGGTGCAAAAGTCCTTGTGATAAGTGGCTAGGTGGTTGTACGGCAAAAGCAAATACTGCATTCTTTTCGGTTCCAATCGAGTTCCCGCGAGTTGTGCCTTATCCGCCTCCAAAATCAATCTCGGGTAATGTTGTTGGGCGTTCAACTTCAACGATAGGTACACCAAGACTGGTTCCTCGTAAGGTGGATGTAGCAGCAGTTGAAAGCGGGGGTAGTGCTGTTGTTGCGGATGTGGGTGACTTCCCGGATCTTGGTAGAGTAGATCTGGCAGCTTATGATGCGTTGGTGGCCAAGTTGAATAAACCAACTGATGAAGGTGAAATGGTGGGGTCTGACGAGTACGCACCTCTTCTCAATCCTGTTGAGCGATCTGACGATGGAAAAACACTGATTGTTCATTGGTTGGTCAATGGAATCGTCTTCTGTGTTTTAATTGACACGGGAGCAGGGACTTGCCTGATGTCGGAACGTACGGCTGAGACATTACGCGTGGTTTGACGACCTCTTCCGGTACTGCTTGCAGTGCTTCCAGCCATTCAATCTGAGCCTGAGTCTTTCATTCTGAAGGAATATGCGTTTGCTAACCTCAAGACTCCACATCTGGCTTATAATTTTGGGGTCACAGCTTTCAAAATCACACCTTTGGGAGGAGATTACGATTTAATTTTGGGCGCTCCATTTTTGTCCAAACACAAATTAGACGTATCTATTTCTCAGAGACTGCTCCGCAATGAAAAAAACAGCTATCGTTTTAGGGAACAAACTAAGATTGATGAAATGAATGCAGCAAAAGATCTGAAGTTGAGACAAGAAGCCTTATTTAAGACAGTGTTGGATAATGTTGAGAAAGTTGGTGAAGTACATGAGTTTTCAATGAAGGAAGTAGCAATGTTGAATGAGTTTGCCGATTTATTCCCTGAGGAGCTGCCAGCGTTGGATCAGGATGTTGAGGATGAAGATGCTGAGGTGTTTCCTTGTAACATTCAGAATGAAGCCTTGAAGATTCGACATAGGATCATACTCACTAACCCAGATGTTGTCATAAACGAAAAACAGTTTGGTTATCCGAGGAAACATTTGAATGCTTGGGCCAAGTTGATTAATCAGCACGTGGCGGCGGGGAGATTGAGACGATCTACAAGCCAGTATGCCTCACCTTCGATGATTATACCAAAGAAGGACCCAACGGCACTACCTCGGTTGATTTGTGATTATCGTACCTTGAACAAACACACAGTCAAGGACCGTGGACCCCTTCCTAACCCGGATGAGGTAGTACGTCCGGTGGGCACCGGAAAGATTTACTCTAGTCTGGATCAAATCAATGCTTTTTTTCAGACACGGATGGAAGAAAAGGACATACCTTTGACTGCAATCAAAACACCTTGGGGATTGTACGAGTGGGTCGTGATGCCAATGGGATTGACAAGTGCTCCCGCGACCCAGCAGAGACGTTGTGAAGAGGCGTTGGGTGATTTGGGCAATTGTGTGTGTGTGGTGTACATTGATGATATAGTGATTTTTTTGCAAACAATTGAAGAACATGAACAGCATTTAAGAGAAGTTTTACAACGACTACAAGCGGCCAACCTTTACTGTGGGATCAAGAATACAAAATTGTTTTGTAGACGTATTCAGTTCTTGGGTCATATCATCAGTGAGGACGGTATCAGCGCGGATGATGAAAAGGTGGAGAAAGTGGCGAATTGGAGAACCCCCAAATCAGCAAAACACCTCAAGGAATTTCTTGGAACCGTTCAATGGATGAAGAAATTTATTGACAGATTAGCTCATCATGTGTGCAAATTGACGCCATTAACCAGTACAAAACAAAAAACAGAAGAGTTCAAGTGGGGTACGGATGAAGAAACAGCATTTCAGAACATAAAACGGATGATTACTACATTGCCAGTCTTAAGGAATCTTGATTACGATTCAGATGAGCCTATCTGGTTGTTTACGGATGCTAGTGCGCAGGGTTTGGGGGCGGCACTGTTTCAGGGAGAAGACTGGGAGACGGCTTTGCCAATTGCTTATGACGGACGTACAATGACAAATGCTGAACGCAATTATCCGGTTCATGAGCAAGAGTTATTGGCAGTGGTTCATGCTTTAAATAAGTGGTGGTTATTACTGTTGGGATTGAAATTTAACGTGATGACGGACCACCATTCACTGACGTATTTATTGTCTCAGCAAAATCTCAGTTGCAGACAGGCCCGTTGGCTAGAAACGTTATCACAATTCGACCTTAATTTTTGCTATTTGCAGGGTCCTGATAATTCGGTAGCGGACGCTTTGTCAAGAGTAGATATGGCGGCAATCGTTAGATCACATCCTGAGCTTGGAGCTGAAGTCAAACAGAAGATCATAGGGGGATATATGGAGGATTCTTTTTGTCAGAAACTTACAAAAGTTCTGCCTTTGAGGGATAACTGCACTATGAGTGACGGGTTTATGTTGATTGATAACCGAGTCGTAATTCCTAACGTTGATACCTTACGAGAAGATCTCATCAAATCGGCACATCAGGCGGTCAGTCACTTAGGAAGTTTGAAAACAGCTCCTTACTTACAATCCGAATTCTTCTGGCCCGGATTGACGGACAATGTTGATAAATGGACGTCGAAGTGCGATGATTGTCAGAGGCATAAGGCTCGTACAACACTGTTACCTGGCCGAGCACAGAGCACCAACTTACCTAGAAGACCGATGAGTAGTGTAGCATTGGATTTTGTAGGCCCGTTCCCCAAAGTATCTGGCTATGACATGATTCTTTCTTGCACTTGTCGATTGACAAGCTTTGTGCGTTTGATCCCGACAAATCAAAAAGATTCAGCTGAACGGACGGCACGCCGCTTATATTCGTCTTGGCTTTCAGTCCTTGGCGCACTGAACGATATGGTTGGAGATTGGGATAAACTGTGGACTTCGCGGTTTTGGCAGGAGCTTCACAAATTGCTGGGAATCAAGATCAATTTAGCCACCGCGTACCATCCGCAGGCAGACGGACGCTCTGAGAGAACAAACAAAACCATGGGTCAAGTACTTCGCTTTTCAACGCAAGGTCAACAAGGTCGTTGGCTAGCGGCACTACCTTCGGTGGAATACACCATCAATTCAGCTGTGAATGTAGTGACAGGAGTCTTGCCCATGCGTTTCGTCTTGGGTCATCAGCCGAGGTTATTTCCAGTGGCGTCTGAAGTTGATATGGTTGGTAGAGATGTAGAGAAGTGGGTGTCTTTGCGGCAGAATGATTGGGAGCATTGGAGAGATAAGTTGTGGGTTTTGAGGGTTGAACAAGCATTGCAATACAACAAACGCAGGGGTGGTGATCTTAAGCTTCAGGTGGGAGATTTGGTATTGGTAGAAAGTTCAAACAGAGCAGCGGTCGTAGGTGGCAAGGTGGCAAAGTTAAGAGCAAGATACGATGGGCCATACAAGATTCTTCGAGTTCTGAATGATGGTCAAGATGGTCAACTTCAATTGTCGGCAAACAACAAATCACATGACATTTTTCACATCTCAAAGCTCAAGATTTATTGGACGGACGCGTCAGAGGAGGCTCCTGAGGGGCAAGAGACTACTGGGTGCAAGTAAGTTCTCTCCTTAGTATGCACCGCCGCGGGTTTCTACCCCTTGTCGTTTTTTCACAACAACACCTTGGCCACGTCTGTGAGCACGAAACCTTCTCTGTGTTTTACCAGGACTGGCGCGGCGACCTCAACTCGACGGAGAATCTCATGGATTTTGGTCGTGGTTGTGGTTATTTCTTCTGTTTGCTGTTTCATTTTCATTTTCTTCCTTTTTTTTCTTTCTTTCTCTTCTTCTCTTCAAAAAAAAAAATTATTAGGGTGCTTGGATTTTATGAAGGATTTTGTTTTAAATTTCTTTTTTTTCTTTCTTTCATTTCTATATTTTATGAATTACAATTTTTCCGGTTAGAAAGTAGCTTCATTGTTAGGTGGGGGGGGTGTAAGGGAGGAGTTAGATGTCACAAGATTACAAGTGTATAGTTTCACACGTGTGTTAGTTAGAGTCTTTATAGTCAGTTGTAAATTCTCCTCCCTCTTGTTTCTTTTCCCTTGAGGTTCCCTTTCCTCCTTCTCGATTCTGTAGTCTTTTATATTGATTATCTGGTGTTTAGGCCGTATTCAGGAATACAAACGTGGTGATAGTTCTGTCTCGGCTTTGGCCCCTTGAGAAACAGTCCCTAGTGAAGGTGCATTCTCACGCACCTTACATGATGCTGATCCGGAATGGATGTGCGGAGTTTGGCTGCTGAGCTGAGGCGTGGGAGACTGAGAAGTCTTTCCTCAAGGGACTGAGGAAAACTTTTTGCGTGCCACACAGGCCTTGCTATCAGCATATGCTTGTGTCTGTTACAAACTGCTCCCCAGCCATGAAACTCACTGCCAAGTTGTTCCTTGGTTGGCATCATCAACATCGCCCTAGCTCCAGAAGTCTTTTCTTCATGGAATACTCTTTGGATGGAGCTAGGTGAGCATCTTAATTCATTTCATCAATGGTTTCTTTTCATTTCTCTTTAGTTTTCTTTGTCTGATAGTCTTTTCTTCACCAAATACTCTTCCAATGGAGCTAGTATGTGTTTTCAGGAAATCCATAGTTGGGTTCTAGATCAAGTCTCCGAGCTTTGAGCTCTTGTCCCCCTTTTCAGTGAGGACTCTTGAGAGTCTTACACTTTTTTAATCTATTCCCCGTCACTAAATCTTGAAACTCGATTGATTGATCTGAGTCATTTTTAAACGTGTTTTTTTGAAACCGTTTTCTTTTGACAAGTGAACTATTTTGATTACCCCAGACACCAGACAACCAATCAAAACTTGATTGGACCGCTGATAAGCAACACTTAATGGGATTTGAGCTACCCACTGACTTCATTGGTGACCCAGGATCCTTTCCAGGTTGACAAAAACAGCGAAAGACACAATCAGAAAGTCCACCGCTGCCCATCCCGCCAAGATACAACTATAAGCCAGAAGTGCTGCCTGACACACCTGACAGTAATTTTACATTACAAGCCAGCTGGATGTTGACCCAATTTGCCACTTCAAAACCTATTGAACTAGTGGACCCAGCAGATGCAGCGGTCACCAAGGACGCAACAATCATTTGCCAGTTTTTCAGCTCAAAACTAGCTGAATAGACGCCTCACCCACCAGTCAGCTTTGTATTCACGCCAATCTTGAATATGGAGACTTCCTCTACGGACAAAGGCAAGTCAACTGACTCACACACCAACAATGACAAAGACAAAGACAGCACAATTGCAAGACTTCAGGCAGAGATTGCTGCATTACAATCTGACAGAGACCGTCTCAATGCACTAGAGGCCTCAATGTCA